CCTAGTGGGGAGAGGCCACAGGTGCTGCTAACCACCTTGCAACGCACAGAGCAAGTCATGACAATGAAGAATTATCTTCATTGTCAATAACCCAAAACGTCAGCAGTACTGAGGTTGATAAACCCTCATTTTTAGGCCAAGAAATGAAAGAAGGGATGTTTGAAAACAGTATAAATGGCAGCTCTTTTTGTTTTGTAATATATTCTGGTTTCATTTTTTTATGTGTGTGTGAGGAGGTCCAATAGAATTGTTTATGCTGTTTTATTGTTGCTGTGTGGTCATTGTTTTGTCTTTCCCGTGGGTGGGTAGTGCATAGGGCTAAAGGCATAGGAAGAAAAGTGTGATGTGTCCAATTTCCAATGCTTCATTTTGCAAGAAGAGTTGAATTATTGTTTCCATAGAGTAAATGATAGAAACTATTTCTTAGCTATTTTACTATCTCAAACTTGGAATTACATTTAATTGCTCTGAATATTATTCATGCCTAGTGACATATGAAATTATGTAAGGATTTTGTATTGACACATAATTCTTCATTTATATAAATTTGTGAGTCTGTTCTTTAGTCTATTAATAATCAATGGAAAATAATGAAAAATGAGATGACTAGGAGATATTCTATAAATCTATCAAATCTTCCTAATGTAGCGCCCTAAACGTATAGAGTATCTTATTGCTTTCAAGTTTCTAGAGTGACTTTTACTTCAAGTTTATTGCTGCATAGGAGGATGGAAATTTACCTGAAGTAAAAGCCACCTGGGAGTGAGGACCTCACTTGTTAGGCAATATCTCCAATAATGAAAACAGATTTATTTGGCATAAGTTTCTCTTTTTTATGTGATAGTGTCACTGCTACTTTCTAGAAAAACTTCTTGTATACCCAAATCTATCAATAAATGTTAGTGTTCTCATTTAAAATAAACTTTTTAGAAAAACTTCTTGTATACCCAATCTATCAATAAATGTTAGTGTTCTCATTTAAAATAAATAAATAATGGAAAACAGAACAGAGACGATAATAAAATCATAGGAGCAGTCTGGGGGTCCAACACTGGAATAATTGGAGCTTCAGAATGAGAGAAGAGAAAATGGAAGATTTCCCAGAACTGAAGGAAAGAGGTTTCCAGAGTGAAAGGCATCATCAAGTGCCCAGCACAATACATAAAAATAGATCCACACAGGTATATCGTTGTGAAATTTCCGAGCACTGAAGGTAAAGAAAAGATTCTATACCTTCTGGAAAGAAAAAGTAGACCACATATAAAGGATTCAAAATCTGAACCATTTCAGACTTCTCTACAACAAGAGCATTAGTTATTTGACAATGAAACAATGCCTTCAAATTTTGGGGGGGGGGGGGAATCGACAACAAGAGCATTAGTTATTTGACAATGAAGCAATACCTTCAAATTTTGGGGGGGAAATATACTCTTTTGCATCAACATGCACCTAAGAACTTTTCCAATGTTTTCACACACAAAAAAAATAAATGGTACTGAAGGTGCAGGAAGGGAGAGGAGGGAGTGAGAGAGAACAGGAAAGAAGTTAGCTTCCCAGGAGAAAAAGAAATTCCAAAAGAGAGGGATCACGGCCAAAATCAAACTTAGAAAATGAACAAGACTGCATCCCCTGGTGCCCCCTGGACTGGCCCTGGGGTTGCGGCAGGGCTGAGAACAGAGCCTTTCACATGAAGAGCCGTGCCAGACAGACCTGGGCTCCAAACCCCACCGCTGCTACTCATCAGCACAGCTGCCGACCCCAGGAAGACACAAGTCCCAGGTCTGCAGACTCAACACAGATTTGTTTGGTCAAACAAATGGTCCTCGACAAGTTACTTAAGTGCTGTGAGCCTCAGCTTCTCCATCTGTAAAGTGGGGATAATAAAACCTGCCTCTGGGCCTGTGGGAAGGGTCCATCTCCCAGGCAGCCAGGGAGGCCTTGGCAATGGGGGTGACATCACCCCCTAACTGAACTGCTCTACTCTGCTGATTGGCAGTTCTCCCCACCCTCAGCCCTACCCCGACTGTCACTCTCTCGAGGGCAGGGATTCTGTCCCTGCTATTTTGACTCCTTTGTGCCTCCACCTCCACCCCGGGCGCCCACACGGATGCCCGGACACTGTCAGCGGAGGGAAAGGTCTGGCTCCTGGGGACAGGGACACGGGCTGAGGACGCACCTGGTCGCTGCGGGGGACTCCGTAGCGCAGCTCATTCACGAAGTGCTCACAGTTCTCACTGGTCACCTTGTAGAGCATCTCCTGCCCCACCAGCTCCTCCGCCCGCTGCACGATCTTGCTGGGAGGCAGCGGGGAGTACTTCTGGTCATGCTTGTTGTTGACATGGTACTTGTCTTTCCCGGCAACAAAATAAAGCAGCTCCTTCTTCACTATGGCCTTGTCGGTCAGGGCGGACATGAGGCTGGCCGCCCCCGCTCCCGCGATTTCACCTGTGGTTCCCAAAGAGGAAAGAGGGCGATGGTCCAGGGCTCACAGCGGCCCTCCTGCTGGGCACCCACCCTTGGCAGACTCAACACAGATATTTTAAATAAAATCAATGGTGATCGACAAGTTCCTTAAGGCTGTGAGCCTCTGTTTGCACAGAAGAGATGTGGAAAGGAAAAGAGGGGAGGGTCGGACACACCCTGTGTGGCTTTGGAGCAGGTGCTTGTGGTCTCTGGGCCCTGGTTTCCTCATCTGAAATCAGGAGTTAGTGAAGGTCCATGATTCGTGGTGATTTTATTTTAACCGAGAGAGGCTGGCCTTCTGCACCCTGTGCCGCCCGCCTCAGAGGCCCTCTGGGTTATGCAGACATGGGCCCTGAGCGCACCCATCTCCCTGGGCCAACAGAGTGTGAACCTCCTGCCATTCTATCGTGGCTACACTTCCTTGGCGTATACAAAGCTGACTACTGTAGGAAGGTGGAGGATTTGCACATGTAGTTCCTGCCCTTCTGGGAGCAAAGGGAACAAAACCCCATAGCTGCTCCCTGCGAGGTGACGCCAGGGAGGCCCACTGGGCTCCCCGGCACGGCCCTGGCCAGGGCTGAGGCGCTGGAAGGGGCAACATAGCAGAGTTTGGAAGCCATTGCCCCGACCAAACTGCCTTCTCGCAGCTCTCAGGACCCACTGCCAGTCCAGGAACAAAGAGCTTTGCCCACAGCTCCCCGTCTCCCTGTCCCCCAGCCCCAGCACAGTGGAGGCCCTGGGCATCCTTACTTGGGGGGGCCAGGTGGACCACATATCCATCACCAACGTAGACGGCCCAGTGTCTGTAGAAGGGGCGGAAAATCTCAATCAGGTCTCCAGGGTTGGGCTCTGGCTGCAAAACCAAGAACAGGGCTGTTAGAGGCGGCAGGAGCGAGACCTTGGAACCTGGGGCAAAGGCTGGGGTCCCCGCCCGGTGCTGTCAAATCAGAAGCGTGTCCCGGATAATTGACATCTTTACAACATTAAGTTTTCTCATCCAAAAACATAAGCAGCTATTTACATTCACCTTTTGTTCTATATCTTTCAATATTTTTTTTTTTCTGGAAAGAGTTTGTGCATATTTTGTTAAGCTTACTTCTAAATATTTTATATGTATTTATTGATGTTGTCCACCTGATGTCAGTTTTCAGAAAAAAAAATGTAGTAAGATCTCCTCTTGTGCTTATGGTTGCCTTTATTTCTTTGTAATTCTGTCAGTTTTAAAATATATGCATAACAGGATGTTAAAATTGAAATTTTGATCAGGACTCTGTCAAAGATTCATAAATAGCTGAAGTAAAACCAATGAATCATTGAAATATTAATTAGTAAAAATTTATTTGGCACACACCAAAAAGACAGTTTGCAAACTGGGAGCATTAAAACCAAAACATGGAATGAGGCTCAGGGGTATGTGTTATAAAGCAGTTTATATAGTGAGGAAGCAGCAACTGTTCATCAGAGTGATCGGTTATAATAGAATTTTCTTAAGTGATAGGGAATTGGTCAGTGGTTACCTCATATCAACCTTGGGAATCAGTTCATGTTACTAATGATTTTCAGAGGCATAAGCAAGAAATGACCAAGGACAAGTTAGTCTTGCAAAATAAGCTAAATTATGCTTTATCTTTTAAAAAATCTATCTTTATTGTTTTTTGTTTTTTTTGCATCTTATCCATTTTATTTATTTATTTATTTTTTAAATCTTTATTGTTCAGATTACATTTGTTCCTCTTTTTTTTTTCCCCCATAACTCCCCTCCTCCCAGTTCCCACCCCACCCTCCGCCCTCACTCCCCACCCACTGTCCTCATCCATAGGTGCACGATTTTTGTCCAGTTTCTTCCCGCATCTCCCATTCCCCTTTCCCCCCCAAGAATAGTCAGTCCATTCCCTTTCTATGTCCCTGATTCATTATAATCACCAGTTCATTCTGTACATCAGATTATTTATTCACTTGGTTCTTAGATTCACTTGTTGATAGATGCATGTTTGTTGTTCACAATTTGTATCTTTACCTTTTTCTTCTTCCTCTTCTTAAAGGATACCTTTCAGCATTTCGTATAATACTGGTTTAGTGGTGATGAACTCCTTTAGCTTTTCCTTATCTGTGAAGCTCTTTATCTGACCTTCAATTCTGAATGATAGCTTTGCTGGATAAAGTAATCTTGGTTGTAGGTTCTTGGTATTCATCACTTTGAATATTTCTTGCCATTCCCTTCTGGCCTGCCAAGTTTCTGTTGAGAAATCAGCTGACAGTCGTATGGGTATTCCCTTGTAGGTAACTGAGTTTCTTTCTCTTGCTGCTTTTAAGATTCTCTCTTTGTCTTTTGCTCTTGGCATTTTAATTATGATGTGTCTTGGTGTGGTCCTCTTTGGATTCCTTTTGTTTGGGGTTCTCTGCGCTTCTTGGACCTGTAAGTCCATTTCTTTCACCAGGTGGGGGAAGTTTTCTGCCATTATTTCTTCAAATAGGTTTTCAATATCTTGCTGTCTCTCATCTTCTGGCACCCCAATTATTCTGATGTTTGTACGCTTGAAGCTGTCCCAGAGGCTCCTTACACTATCTTCGTATTTTCGGATTCTTTTTTCATTTTGCTTTTCCGGTTGGGTGTTTTTTGCTTCTTCGCATTTCAAATCTTTGGCTTGATTCTTGCGCTCCTCTGGTCTGCTATTGGGTGTAATATTCTTTATTTCCGACCGTGTATGCTTAATTTCTAGTTGTTTCTTTATCATAGCATCGAGGGTCTCATTAGTTTTCGTGAGGCTCTCCAGAAGTTTATTGCAAGCCCTCAAAATTGCGTTTTTTAGCTCTATATCCTCCATTTCTGTCATGTTTTTTTGTCTCCGCATTTTTTATGCTTTCTTGGTGCACCCCCTAGTGGTCTTTGTGCGCAGTCTTGTTCTAGTTGAGCCTTGATTGTTGTAGTTAATACTAGAGGGATTTGACCACCAGGCCGACTGGCTGTGTGAATCAGCTGTGTCTGCCGCGGAAAACTTCTGTCCTCTGGGGAGGTGCTAATCTAGCCTTTGCCTGAGGCGATCTGGCAAATGGCTCTGCGCAGGGCTTGGGCGGGGCGGGCTCAACAGGGCGGGCGGAGGGAGCCGTTATGGTGCCCTCAGTCCTGTTCCCAGAGGCTCTGCTTCTCAGAACCCCCGGAACCGCTGCAAACCTCGGAGGGAAAGCTGCCTTCCAACTGATGCCAGACACTCCCGCTTCTCCCGTTTGGGTCCGAGTCCCCAGCGATTCGCCCGTATCTGGAGCTCAGAGTCTGAGACTCCCCCCTGACCGAAAACGACAACCGCGCTCTCAGCCACCAGCCCGCTTTGCGCGCGCACCTCCGCACCTGAGTATTTTCCACACTGCGCCTCCTCTGAGCCTCGGTGTGCTGTTATTTTTCCTTCTAGTTGAAGAGTCTCTCCTCAGCCAGCCTTCCTGTGGTTCTGGGTGATGTCCGTTCCGTCTTTTAGTTGTATTTTTGAAGTGGTTGTTTGCGGCAGCAGTCTCCGGTGTTTACCTATGCCGCCATCTTGGTCTCTCCCAAATATGCATTTCTTATTCTATCACAATGAAGTGTGTAGGGGAATGTGGGGGAGGGGGGAGAGCGTGCAGGGAAGGTGGGGAGAGTGCTAAAATCCGCTTAGAGGCCCACCCTGTTAGGGGAGCATGAACAGAGCTCGACAAACATTCCGAGAGGTTCAAGATCACTTTCATTCAATATTATTGAGGTGCCAACACAGTGTGCTAAGTGCTGGGCGGGGGGACATTGGGACTTGGACTGGAATCAGGGGTGAGAGCCTCTCTGGTCCAAGCCAACCTTAAATCTCTCTAATGAGCCAGGAAGCCATCCCTTTAGGACACATCCAGCGCAGTGAAGAGGTGGGTCGGGAGGTTGCCCACATCCCACCCCCACGCTCTGTGGGCCTGGCTGAGAGATTCCAGCAAAGCTGAGGAGGGAGAAAGAGGCAGCCTTGTACGGGCTCCTTAGGGATAAGAACGACGGGCAGTGGGAATAGCCAGTCTCATCGCAATGCCTGCGAAGCCAGGTCTATGGCAGCTCATTTCATTTACAGGAACATAAAAACTGAACACAAAAATGCACATACGGTACAGGGGGGGGGGACTATTTTCACAGGACTTTTACAGATCCTTCTCTTATGCAGTAATTATCATTTATATTTCCAAATACACACAAGCTCAAAACATGCTACCACCCCAGGAAACTTCTTTTTTAAAAGAAGAGGAGGTGGACTTGCCCACGGAGCCCTGCGCACTAGTTAGAAGCAACGGCTCGCCGTTCCCGTGGCAACGAGGATCACCTTTTAGACACAGTGCTGAGTGGAAAGTGAGAATGAGCACCGCAACACAATACACTTCCATCAATTAAAGATGTCCCACGAACCCAGGAATGCACGTCTATGAGAGCCACCCCTGCAAAATAAACTTTAAACAGCAACAACAAGAAAAGAATCGCACAGAGTGAAGAACCACACATGCAACACACTGGATGCTGGCCATTGGGAAGATGGAGTAAGGGAACCAAAAAAAACAACAACAACCCTACGGGAGAGGGGCCTGCAGTCCGGCAGGCTGCCAGGAGCTAAGGGTATGGCTCTCCTTCCAGCACTGAAATCTCACTAGAGCAACAGTTCTCAACCTGTGGATCGCGACCATTTGGGGGTCCAAGGACCCTTTCACAGGGGTCGCCTAAATACATCCTGCATATCAGATATTTACATTAGGATTCATAACAGTAGCAAAAGTATAGTTATGAAGTAGCAACGAAAATAATTTTATGGTTGGGGGTCACCACAACATGAGGAACTCTATTAAAGGGTCGCGGCGTTAGGAAGGTTGAGAACCGCTGCACTAGAGGAACAAAGACATCATGACAGACACAGCCAAGTCGGCTGAATCAAAATCAAGAACTGAAGAAATCCTGTTGTACAATCAGAAGCGCACGTTCTGTAATCCGGGCGCCAACTCTGTGCCTCTGCTTGTTCCTGCGTGAAGCTGAGGAGGGTTTCCACCCTTGTCCAGTGGCTGGAGGAAAAGTCAAAAGGTTACTGTTTGGTGACACATGAAATTCACACGGCAGAGGCCAGACCGTTTCCCGGCCGCGGCCACACTCCGGCACCTGCACTGTCCACAGATGCTTTCTCACGGCAGAGCTGAGTCCCTGCAGTGGAGACCACAGGGCCTGCAGGACCTAAGTCTTCACTCTCGGGCCCTTTACAGCAGGTTTGCCGACTCCTGTCATAAAGGGATCAGCAGTGCGGCCTCCTCCCTCAGCTTGGGGACCAGCAGGAAGCGCTGGGAAGAGCTGCCTCCCTCCAGGGCAGGGCTGGGGGTCCGCAGGCAGCACAGGAACCGGGGCCCCTCACCCAGCCCAGGCGGGACAATGGCGAAGCTGAGCCTGCACCCACGGGATTGTAGGACAAAACAGCTTCAGTGGCTGGATCCCTCCATAGCTCTTACCACAGGCCCAAGCTGGTCTCTGTGCCCAGACCACATGCATCAGGAGGCCAGATTTTGCATCTTTCCTATCCTGGGGTCTGGAAGGTGCCTTGTACACAGAAGGTGCCCCATGATGCTTGTTGCATGAAGTGCAGCCAGGGTGGAGCAGGCAGAGGGCAAGAAATGGGGAGCCCCCGTCTCTGCAGGAAACAGAAGGATCATGGATGGTTTCCTGGAGGCAGGCCCAGCGTGAGTACGGGTGAGTTGGAGCTGACAAAGGGAAACGGCCTTTATTTCCTTCTGGCAGGCACAGAGTTCCATGTCTGCTCTGTGTCAATAATTCTGAGTTATTTAAAATTTAGCTATTGTGACTGAGGCACACATACAATCTCACCT